TGTTCTTTGATTTAATTCTGCTTTGAGAAACTTAAAAGAGCAGATATAAAAAGTAGTAGAAATAAGTGTCTGATGTAACAGATACTGCTTTTTCGTCTCATTTAAAATGAGAAGAAAAGCTTTGTAACATCGTCACATATGTGACTGCCATATAAGTCCATGTCTACTATAAAATACACATAAATTCTTATCTATATCCATAAATTCTTTCACTTTTCAAAATGTTAGACAAGTATATATATGCGTTTATATGAAGCATGTTTTTCTTCGTTACAAATTTATATCGGATAAAATACACGTGAAAAATCCAATGACCATTTGCACTACCTACAGAACGAAAGAACTTCTTGTAGCAATTTTATTCACTGCAAGAAACACATGCTAACACTTCCATCCTTTAACGCAAGATTGATTCTTCTTACTGCAAGATCTTGTTTCTTGCAGTAAAGCTGGTTACTGCAAGAAGTGACAAGAAATCGCGTCGCGACAACGGGAGTTCATAGCGATCGCTTGCGCGACATCGCGTACGCGCCGCGACTAGGGCGCGAGAGTCGACCTGGGAATAAATAATATGACTTTGTCTTTGAAAACAAATTGAAAGAATAAAAAGAAAAAATTTACATTTCAAATAATTGTCACTATCTCTTTCCTTTAAAAAAACTACTAAGCACCCACACATAGTATCTTTCTGATGAAAAATGAACGAATATGCACAACTTTGTGAAACCGGTAAAAACCGGCCGATCCAACTCACTCAACCGGTCCGGTTACAACTCTGGCCTGGCTGCGGCCATTATGAATCAAATACTAGGTTTTCCCAGAGGTCGCCGCTATGCTACCCGAACTGTCAGCCACTTTTCTCGATGAAAACTACAGGTGATCCCTAATTATTCATAAACGATATAAAGTTCGTATACTTTGTAGTAGAAAAAAGCCTATCAACTGATAGTATAGCCATGAACGCCGTTGATCCACCGGTTTACTGAGATGCTACCGAGTATTTCGAATCTTTGACTACCCAGTTACATTTTCTTGTGACTGTTTTATATATCATTTTGTAGCCTGTGAAATTCTCTATCGAATGGTATATCACGTTGCGAAATCCCGAAAAACTTGTTATCAAACGAATAGTTTAAAAAAAACGCGTTTAAAAGATAAACCTTTAATGCGTTGTTTGGTCGTTAAAAACGAAAAAACAAGGCGTTTTTTTGTCAGTTATTTTACAGCAGCAATACTCGTTGTTTTGTTAGTTTTCTAAAATTTAGTTCCCTTAACGTCTATGCACAAAAATTCGCAGAAGAGTCGGTGAATCACAATTTCCAGACTGGTTAGCAATGGTGAATTATTTAACGGCGCAAACTCGATATAATCTTTTTTTTGTGTTCTATTTAATGATGATAAAAGTGTATATAAGTTTCGAGCGCAGAAAACAAAGCCAGTGAATCATAATTTACTATCTTAATGTTTTATTTGTTCTTTTTATTATTAATATTGGTTGCCTGTTTACACTCTTTCATCTCTGCATTAAGGAAACGTCAAGGTTCGTAAGATACATTGACACTAGTGTAGCCACAGTAAAGTTCTAATTTTTTATATTAATTTTATATAAATTATCGGGAAGAAAATACTTGGCTTGCTAACTTCTTCACATCACTTTTTTTCTCCCCATCGGCTGCAGACAGTGGTTGTTGTGATTGTCCTGCTAATGTATTTGTGTCCGATGCAGTTGGGTTATTAACATATCTATCTAACACTTGGTATCCCGGACTGTCTGAATTCGGTGATGCAGTACCCGGATCGTATGTCGCTTGCCAATTTCTCGATGAAGATGTTGGACCAGTGAAACTTGGACGCATTTTGTCTGATATCCAATGACGAGAGTTATGAGCCTGTATAACAGAATGTATTAAATGTCTGACTGAGAAAACGTAGATAACGACAGAGTGCTGTTTGGCAAAAGAAATAATAATTAACGATATAGGATAACACAAAGGATACTGAAAAGAAAAAAGTAATACGAGAAGAGAAAATATATACTGCCAGCGATGATTGACACAATTCTCATTAGTTGCACGCACTCTGTTTTCTTGTTCTAAGCTTTTTTATTTGTTAGTAAAAGAAAGAATACACAAAACATCGAATATCCATGTAATCCAAAACAAGTTCTACGATATACAGTACAGTATGTCAAACGATAAATCCTTACTCCGAACAGATAAAGATAGAGGAAGAGCTATAGAATAATTCAGTGTCTGTGTATGTGTGTTGGTGTCATGTGTGTGTTTTAACCATAGATACTGCTTAAAATTTGATCAATCAATGAGCTGTAGAACAACGTTTAGTGCTCAGTTACAGCCTTTACAATCACTGATAATTTCAAAAATTTTTTTTTTCGTATTCAACAAGAAAAAAGACAAATAGACAGGAACGGTCTATAGTTTCGAAGATTCTTATTAAGAAAACTTGCTCTGCTCTTTGAACATTATTTGTAAGTTTGTGATCTCAATCAGAATTTGTATTCATGTACCGGTTGTGACCTATAGAAATTGTGCAATTTTCTGCAAAAGGCATGGAAGTATTCTTCGTCTTAATTCCGTCCCATGTCAACCCGTGCGGCACTTGTACGCGCACGTCACGCTGTGTACTGTTCGTACGTGTACGTACGCGTATATCATGCGTACAGGTCGTATGCAGCGCACGTATCGCGTATAGGACATACATGACTAATGGAGAGGCTAGTCGATAATTAGAAATTGGAAATGGTGGCCTATTGGTTCTTATTTTAAACAATGAAACTACTTCTATCGTCCTGGTACACCATTGTGTTGTAATAGCTTTACAAATATTTCTATTTCTGCTGTAAATCTAGACGTTTAATATTTGACAAAGAAGTTTTCACAGACGCTCAACAAAAAAATATAACAAAACGAAAGTTTTTTGTCCGAGATAGTGTAAACTTTATTTTAAATAATTACCTTGTTACTGTTCTTTTAAATTTTTGGGGAGGTATGCACATAATTCGAAAAGTCCTCAGTTAATAATCTCATCCCATAGTGCTATTTTCTAGATTAGTTTGAATTAGTGTCGCGCTGACACAGTTTGTTCAAGGTCCAAATTTTTGTAAACACAGCTAAAGCTATAAGTTTCTTCTGGCTTAAACACTAGAAAAGGAAAAACGTCTACTGTTGTAAGTTCATAGTTGAGTACTATTCATTTTTATGTATCAAAAGAAGTCATCATCAAGTGTTGCAGTTGTTGCCATTTCATCGTTATCACTATCATTATCTTTTTGCTTGTTATTATCATCATCCTGCTCTTCATATTTTTGTTTTTTTGTTAATATTTCTGAACTTGTGTCTGCAGTAGTATTACATAAACCTTTTAACAAAATTAGATTCTTTTTCAAAAACATTAATTTATTTAATTTTGATGTACTTAATGATGTTCGTTTATCAGTTATTGTATTACCACTGTGTGAAAAAAGACGCTCCACAGATGTGTTTGTTGCTGGAATAATAAGAATATCATGAGCAATTGAAACAATTGTTGGGAATGATTTTTCATATTTTAACCAAAAATCAAGTAAATCATCTTTTTTTGCATCAAGTGTTACATTCAGCTTTAGATATCGTTCAAACTCACTTTCGCCATTATTTGTTGTTGGTTGCTTATCATAACAATCCGTTATTATATCTCGACGATCATGTTTAATAATTGTCGATGGTTCTTAAGTTATTGCTGTTGTAGCTTTATTATTATTATTTGCTTTTTGATTGATAGCTTCTCTTCGACTAATTTCTTGTTTCAATAAATCATAACATTTATCTTTAACATCAGGACATATATCACAATTTTTGAAATTTGGGTGTAGTATCGTTGCAATGTAATGCTCATCGTTGAGTTTCCAATAAGCATCCAGTTCATCAAGAAAATATTATTTTATAGCTTGCATTGCGTCAGAATCATTATTATTAGCCACAGATAAATTAACTAAACGTTGCTTTAATGGGATCACTAAATTCAACGTTGGATGTTTTTTCTGAACTTAATGCTTCTGTTACATCAACAAAATGGATAAAATATTGTGCAAACTGAATTAAAACCGTATCGTCAATTTCAGCTAATGTTAATCCTTGTTTCGGATCTGTTATAACACCAATTAAATCAGGATATACTTGTATAAAACTTGATATCATTGCATGAGCTGAGTTTCACCTTGTTTCAGAAAATAGTTGTAATTTTTAGATAATTTCGTTTGATTATGTGATCGACGAATATGTGTTACTGTTGAACGCACATCTTTAAACAATTGTTGAATTTTATCGCATTTAATATCTGGTTTTGTTAATCCGTGCTCAATCTTTTTATTCAAATAGTGTGTCGAACAGCCAATACGTTTAACATCATGATTAAAAGCAGCTACCATTTTTGCTTCGTTATCAGACACGATATACATTGATTCATTTAATTTTAAACCATATTCTAATAATATGTCATCTGTAATTTTCTTATATTATATGACTGTTGAGCTGGTTCATGATATGCTTTACAAGCTAATACAACTGATTGTAAACCAAATTTATTATGATGAAAATGTAATGTTACTCCACCATAGCCAACACCAGTATATTCTTCTGTCCAAAAATCGACGGTTACAGCAAATTTTGTGAGTGTTTGACATAGTGAAATTAATTGTTCATGACGACGTTCATATATTTTATCAATTTCACGACTCACCTGCAAAACAGGAAAAGGGGTAAAAAAAATTAAGAATTATTGTGCAAATACACACCGTTGTGCTATGTGGCAATATTAATTCAACAGGAACTGATTTTCCAAATACGCGGCCAACTGTCATTAGTTCTTGTGCAAGATTCTTAAAACCATCACCTTCAATTGCTATAAATGGACGATCATCAAGTGCAGATAATTCAGCTGCTGCTGTTATTATTCTATTCTTCATTAATTTAAGATGTTTAATATTAAAATTATCATTAGATTTATAAAATCTTAGTATTTGCTGTTGACCGTTTGAGCTTCTTTTATCTTTACAATTTTCATGTTTCTTCAGACAATTTGTACCATCACTGGCCTTCCATTTTAAAACTGTTTCACAAATTAAGCAAATGACATAATTTTGTGAAATATTATCAATATATATTTGTGTAAAATTTTCCTAATATTGACTTTTTATATTTTTAGGTTTAGCATAAGAAACACTAGTCTTCTTACTTTTAATAAATTGCTCTATTTCACTCTTTGAATGCATGAAATTAATCTAAAAAACGTCTGCACCACAAAAGGAGACCTGTGAATAAGAGTAAGAAAGAATGTTGTCTTTCACAGCAATTTGGTCATATTAGTATCATAGAAAAAATTATATTTGTTTGCAGGACCGCAAATACGAGATGAATATTAGGAGAGTGTAAAACTGAATCTCTCTCCTAGGTAGTGCGAAATCTACTAAAACAGTCTCATCTAAACAACCGACCTATTGCTGTTACAAAGTTTCGAGTGATTATCTAGTTTTTCAAAGGCCTCTGTAGAACCACCCTTAAAAAAAGATTTTCATACTTATTTTTTATGAAAAGACGCGCCAAAGCCTGGGTTTTCGGTTGGTAAAACCGCAACTCTCTATCCGTTTCCAGAAAACACAATTTGAAAAGTAACCAAGTCCACCATTTTAATGAACAGATTAATTTACTATTAAATTGTATCGACGTTTCGAGAATAAAATTCTCATTTGCAAGAAGAAAACATGCGTACACGAAACAAGTGTATTACGTACAGTTAGAAATTGAATCTATGACTTTATGTCTAATATGTAAAACTAGTATGGATAAAAAATAGAAACTAACAGACGTATTATTGAATTATAGTAGTAAAAAGAAATAAATAAATCTCTTGTGCGTATATGAATACATACATACATACGTAAATATAGTAGTAATGAACTATACAGCCTAAAAAAACTAAAGAAGAAAGGGAGTACAGATAGAAAGTGCTGTCAGCCGGCTCTGATTTTATCCAACTACGGGCGCTACTTTGAAAAAATATTCACGGGACCGGGACCAAAAATGAGTTCTTTCCACAGGACCGGTACCAAAAACATTTGCTCCCGCAGACCTCTAGAGAGAGCCGCCGGGAATAGTGAGCCAGTCGAGGATTCGTTTGCCGTGTAGTTCAAATACTTCTAATTTTTCAAGTTTCTCGAATCTGGAAACTGCTGAACTTCTTTCATCAGGTGCAACTGTAACTGATAGTGCCTGTAAGTAATTGAATCAGTCACTCTTTTTGCTGCTTAATCCACTATCGAGTTAGGGACGTGGAGAAAACGGAAGAGAGACCATTTTTAATCCGTATTCGTGATCATAAAGAGTGGCGGTAAGTCACTCAACTATCTCTCTTCCTTATACTCTGTAAAATCAGCGTAACATTCATTGATATTTCTTTGCAATTTTAGGCGACGTTAACGACGAAGAAGAACTGCTACCACTTCCAACATCAAAAAACTTGACTCGACTGGAACTAACGACTTAGAACGATTGTCTCTCAACTGAATGGATAGAATACTTATTGAAATTTGTCTCGGCACTTTAGAAGAATTCCGTCTCGAACTTCGAGACTCGTATCCAATTGAGTTTTCTAAATGCTATTTGGACGGTCACCGTTGGTCTGATCTCTTTCAGTATCACATGATGAAACTGAGGAAGTTTGAATTCTATGCTACTAGCATCACCACTTAAAAGACGGCGAATATTGTTCCGTGACACAACTCAAGGAATGTTTCAGAACCGACCATTTTCAGAAGTATATCTGGAACTTCCTCTCTGAATGTGACTATAGTTTTGAAGGCTACGACCTCGATAGTGCGCCCTATCGTGTACTCAGAATAACATCAGTTGACAGTGCGATCAATCAATTAACAAGCCCTAGTTTCTTTAAAAGAGGCGATATGACGTCTTTCTATTCGGTACATCGACAGTCAACTTCGACGGCTGCTTCAACATTACGACCGTCGTCAAATGCGAAAATCTTATGGGTTCAGTTAAAGGACAAAACCGATATCAACACACTAACGTGCAAGCTGTTTCCACGTTCGTGATCTGCATTTCTCTTTTCTTGCGGCTCCGTGTGCAGCATACACCAAAAAAGGTCGTTGTGCAATGTTGTATTCTTTCTAGGTCAATATTCGAAGATTCAATCTCTTGGAATTCGCTTTCTAACTGTGAGCGATCAACTCACTTCGAAATTCTTATCTGATCTTCCAAAAGTGGTAAACTATTCGAAACTCAGAAAGCTGAGACTCGATGGAGCACAAATTTAGACACCTGCTATTGTTCGAAACCTCCATCTCTTCACAACGTAACTCCATTGCTTGGAACTTCGACACAGTGTTTATCAAGTTTTAGTCAACGCCAGCGATAATCTACGGCTCTTTCAGAGAGTTAGAGAACCCACGATCGAGTTACCGTATCCGGAGGTGAAACCCTAACTTGCACCTAACTTTCTAATGTACAGTAATATGATGATATCATTTTTGTCGCGTAAAGCGATTTCTAGATATTCTAATTCTGTTACTACAACAGGACGATTTCCCGAGAAAGCGAGTTTTGGACAGGAAGATCCTTTTCCCGTTATATACATTAGAAAGTTAGGTGCAAGCTCCGCGCCAGACCAAACTTTATGAACCTAACGTGGTATATGCAGAATTTCAAGGCGAATCCGACAGCGGGCTTCTTATAATTACATCTTGAGTTTTTCATGTGTCGCCACAGTCTCTACGATTTCTTATACTGAATTTAGGCTGTTTTTCTGTTCTGTCACTTGTTTTCTTCTCTCTTTTCTCCTTTCCATGCGCACACTTTATCTGTTTTTTGTTCTTGAGTTTTTCATAATTTTTTTTATAATTACATCTTGAGTTTTTTAAATAAATACCTGAAAGTTCAAATCAAGCAGAAACAGTGATAAACTCAAATTTTTTCATGGAATTATCATCTATACCATTTTTAATATTTTCCCTTATCAAAGACAATTGCTCATACAACCATTCTCTCCGAAAACATCAAGATTTTAACAAAAGGTTCTATGACATGTTTTATTCAATAGGTCAAAAGAAATAGAATGAGAACGAAAAGTCAGAACCTTTTCTTATAACCTTGATGTTTTTGGTGAAAAAATTTGTATGAGCAATTGTCTTTGATAATTTGAGGATAGGTTTGGGGGGTGGTTACCTCCCACCCCCTTAAAACGGATGTTTGCACACGTCTACTGAGTTTTCGTAGATATTTCACCTTCATTTACTTCGTCCGTTATTTCGTAAATTGATAAATATTGTTTAACATTTTGTTCATGTTTCATTTAAAATCATCATATGTTAAATATGCAGTCGTGCAACTCGTGCCAAAACTCACATTATTACTAGAAGATTTTTGATCTTCTTTGTTTTGATCAATTCTATTTGTTTATGAAGTGTTGTGGTGATATAGTCAGATGTTTTAGTTCGTTTTTCTTATTTCTAACTATCAGAAACTCTTATTTTCATCACACGTATGTCATACTACATGTACTTCTTCAAAACCCATCAAACCTACTTGTACTCTATGTTATCTGCAGCGTACTGTAAAGCTCAATAAATTTTGAAAAAACCAACAGAAAATACTTTGGTTTCTAGAAAGGTATCACAGAAACCTTCGGAACTAAGAGAATATTTTTATTGATTCTGAGTACAGAAAAAAGTTTTAATTCCAGTTCTTGCTACGAGAGAAGTTCTCCAGAAATCCGTGTTTTTTCAGCGAAAAACCTCTAAAAATTATTTTTTATTTTATATCGAAATAAGCTTTTACATAGAGTGCAATGTGCTCTATTCGCTGAGTGCATTGAATATAAATTTCAATGATCGTAGAAGTTTCTGTAAAAATGATCCTAAGGCCTGTAAACTGAAAATCCAGATTTTCCAGAACTCCATTATGAAAGTCAAAATGAAAGAAAACTGATATTACCAGTGTAAATCTTCGAGTCGAATAATCAACACCCCGCTTGACTTCGTTTTGAAGAGGGTATCTCGGCCTACCATGAAAAAGGCGATAGATTGCTGTTTTAATTTCGGAAGATCTGAAGTGGTTTCCATAGACCCCGTCCGTGAAAGTCCCGTCTTTGAAATCTTTTCGAAACTAATTGTTGCTTATGGAAAACATGTCCTAAAGTTTTAGATATCGAATGTTGAAAAAACGTACGTCGATATCTTACGTCAAAACGTGTGCATCTGTTGAATCATGCCAGCACAAAGTGACAAGTGTATGAAAATGTTCTGCGAAGGCTAAATGAGCTATATTGAGATAAGGAAAGAACAAAATAAAAAGCATGTTGATGATCTTTTTGTGAGAGAATAGTTGCTTTCCTACATGGGTATTTGGCAAAGTTTAGGGCTAGTGGAACGAGCGTGTCAAGAACAATCCATCACGGAACCAACTTTAACGTTAGTTTGGCTTAATGATGAAGAAAGTGAAACAATAGTTTCCTCTCAACAGCATGATCTTTGCGCAGCCGTTGGCACGGAGAATGTGGCACCATTCACCGATGATTTCGAATGCGAATATCATACACGGAGTAGCCCATTACAGCAAAACTCATTTATATCGTCCCGGATACACTTGCAAACGAAGTAGTCAGACAAGTGCATCATCTCTGTCAAATTATTTGGATATTGGTATTCGCATTACCTAATACGAATGGTTCTTTCAGTGACTGTATTCTTGAGAATGATTACAAAAAGGTATGTTTCAATCTAGTTTAACACTTTTCGCTACATTCAAATGAGGTTTGACGATAGTTTTTAAAATCCAAACACTAGTAGCACACCGCTGTTTCTTTTTCTCAGCGTTCCGTAACCGCTTATTCTCTTATTTCCACGTCATTTTGTACAGAATTGCTTCTTCTACATGACTGACTTTGTTTTGAGTAGGAAAAATTGCTGAAATTATCGAAAATGAGAAATACCCAAAACTCAGTTTCAAAACCCGGTGTTTGAGGTTTATCGAGGTCTCAAAAGATTTGAATTTCAATTAAAATACCTTCATTGGGCCATTTTTTCACGATGCATCGACTGATGTGTAAAATTTTGCAACGCAGGCTCAGAGCGTAAATGTCCAAATAGGAACAGTGCCACTTTGTCACAAAACACGTCACAAATTTTCTTTTACATTCTATAACTCGTAGGAATTAGTTTCAAAATTTGTTAAAATAAAAAGACAACCTTCTTGTCGTCCG